CAGGGGAGCAGGGCGTGCGGCTGCCTCGTGCCCGCTCCTCAAATCAGCTCGGGGCTGAGGCCTTCTGCCGTGCTGTCCTGGTTTCGGCTGGGATGGAGTTATTTTTTCTTCTCGGTAGCTAGAGGAGTTCAAACCAGGCCTCTTCCTTCTCCCGCAGGCCTGTGTCCCGCCGGCGGGGGGCCCGGCTCTGCTCCGTGCCCGGTGGGTGCCGAGGGGCTGGGCGGGGGTCACACTGGGGAGGGACGTCTGCGGGGCGTCCTCGCAGGCTGCACTGCTCCAGAGGCCACGAGGGGCCGGGGCTTCCCCGCCTGCTGGACACAGCTTTTTTGGCCTGGGAGCTGGAATTCCTCGACGGCTTTTCTGTAGAAATAATACTGCGGTTGGGCAGTTTGGGGTTTGTTTACACGGAGCCCTCCTCACGGCCTGCCCTTGCGTGGAGGCTGGTAATGAGAGACGCGATGTGCTGACTTTTCCAAACTGTTGTTTGGAGACTGTAACCAAAGTTGCTGTTTCCTCATTAGAATGGCCTTTGTCAGAGCATCTTTAATCAACGGGCCCCCTAGAGACGGCATTTTTAGAACTCCTTTTTATACCTCCTCTTGGAAGTTCTCTGCACTGCACCTCGTGAAGAAACTAATGAGATGCTGTGAGAGTTCGGGCTACTGTTAATTAGAAGAGGTCTGAGGAAGAAGTACTGCACATACATTAACTTTATCTTGGCTCACATGTCTCCGCTCTCCCTCTGTCTCTTCTTTCCAGGTTGCACAAACAGCAGATGGCTTGGACGCTGACCTCTGGAAAGATGGCTTATTTAAATCCAAGGTCACACGATACCTGTGCTTCACAAGAGCCTTTTCAAAAGAAAATGTAAGTCCGTTTGCTGAGTGTTTGCATGATTTGCATCTGTACCTGATATGCTCTCACCCATAAGATGATTCATTTTATAGAGCCAATTATAATTCAGGCAGGCATTTCACTGAGTTTGGGTGAGTCAGGAGGCAAATTGCAGCAACTGGATATTTGCATTTTGTCTGTGTTCTTCATGAAAAGAAAGCACCGGCAAAATTTGCAAGAAAAGCAGCAGAAAAAGGAATGCTTGCATTTCAGCAACCACTTCACGCCAGCTGTAGCAATGGGTGCTGCATGGTCGTGATCCTGACGAATTTCTATCTCTAATTACCCAGAGAAGCAAATGCTGCAGGCAGTGTTGGTGAAGGCAGTGTTGGTTTCTGGATCCCAGGGCATCACAGATACTTTCTTGCTGGATTAGCATTTCATTCTTGGATGTTTTTGGTGCTGATTTTTGAAAATTTGCCCACACGGTGCATGTACTACTATATTCTCCTAATATTCTAGCGTGGCTATGAAGCATAAGTTAATTTCTGATTAATGGCGGTTGTCTGCCCACACCTTCCGTGGAGGAGGGCGGACCATGTGCAGTGAGAGCCTGATGCCTTCTACTGTGGTTTTGGATGAGGCTAGTGTGAAAACTTCCTCCTTTCTGGAGGAACTATTTAATTCTACAATGAATGCACTCCATCTAGTGGGTAATCCTGCTTTTGGTCGTGTTTTGGATATTCGCAGTGTCTCGGTTGTCAGGGTATGGAGATACCATTTTGTACTCGTGTTTTCACCAACGACGGGAACAGAAAAGCGGCTGCGACTTCCGAGCCTGATCGTGGGTCCTGACAGGAAGGCCGGGGGCTGCCAATTCCCAGCGCTTGACCTTTATTCCATCCGCTTCCCTGCCTGCCTCTAGATTAAAATAAAGCTCCAGTGCTAGGGGAAATATTGCTTCCTGGGATGGATGGGCAGTAACTGTGCTTTTCATCCTGCAGTACCTGCAGTAGCAGGAATAATAGCCCCAGAACTGGCAGGGAGGGTATTTAACAGAAAGATCTGTGACGATTTGAGTCCTAAGTTTATCTGTGGCTACCTTAAATGTGAGGTGGTCAGAAATAATTACAGGATAGCAGCAACTGCTGGCTACCAGAGACAGGGTAAATACCCTCAGTCGGTGCCTGTTGGGCTTTTGGCAGGAATCCTCTGCTCGTGTGGTTTGGGGGCACGTTCCTCGTGTCTATGGGGAGTGAATTACAGGGAACTGGGGGGCGCCGCCGGTCCCGGCCGCACAGGGCTGGGCTGGGCGCTGCGGGGCGAGTCGCTGCCGGTTGCCTCGAGCCGCGTGTCGGTGCCGTGAGACCCGGGGGTGGTTCTGGGGAGCTCCTGGGCAGCCCCCGGCAGCACTGCCCGCGTTTGGGCGCCGTCAGGGGGCTGGTGCCACTGTGGCTCGTGGCCCAGCAGGAGCTTTCCCTCCCCAGCCGTGCCGGGCCTGATGTGCTGCCCAGCGGGGACCTCGAGGGTGAAAAACCCTTGGCCCTGCCCGGTGGCAGTGACCTAGACCTCTCCTCCGGGACCAGGAGGCTCCTCTCACCTCGGCCGTGATCTGTTGCTCTGCTTTGGGTTGGAAGTTTTACTGCTCAGGGCTTTTTTTAACAAAACACTGGGAACTATTTGTCCTGAAGAACGTGTTGTAGTTAGCAGGGTCGATGCCCCTCGGATACCTGGTTTATAACAGAGGCAGTCTGTAGTGTCTCTTTAGCAGAATCGTCACTCTCAACAGCTCACAGTGTTTGACAGGTTGTGAGGACACGGCTGACGTTTGAGTGTTGCGGTGAGGAGGCCCCGCGTGGTGCATCTCACAGACGGGGGGCGTTGTGCCCTTTTCTCCGCTGTACGTGGCAGAGCATCAGTGCTGTCCCCGCGTTCAGCAGGTGACGAACTTACGGGGGCATCTCTCCCTCTTGCCTGCTGTTGATGGAGGAACGATCGTTGGTCCAGCTGAAAGCTGTGCACTGATGTCACAGCCAGACAGTTTGGATAAATAAAACATGAAAGGTGAATCAGCAGTGACCACCGCACCTACCATTTCCCGTGCCAGGAGCACGTTAACTGATACGCTGGGGCTCCGCAGCATCCAGCGCCGCTTGCTCCGAGACGCCCTGGCCCAAGCGGGCACGGGGCGGGGGGAAGGACATGTGCGGTGGGGCAGGGCTGAGGCGCGGCGGCCCTCCTGCCCAGGCTCTGGGGAAACACACAACCTCCCGAAAATGAGCTCAGACCTGGTCTCCCCTCATTTCAGAGGCTGCAAATTTAAATATGTTTTAAAATAGTTCAGGGTAGTAATCAGGGAGTAGAGGTTTTCCTGAAATACTCTGCCAGATAAAAACTAAAGGAGGTACTTAGCAACCAGTAACAGTAAAACACACTGACATGGTTTGATGGCTTAGGATGAAATTTTAATTGTTCTGTATTGCATTTCTGTTTATAAGGCTGTGCAGTAACTAAAATGTGCTTTTCTTCCATACGTGAATCCAGATTATTGGCAGCAATGCTGGCTTTAACGAGAACTGCAAAGAAAATCTGGTCTCTAAACAATTGTGGAGGCTGTCATTCTGAATTGTGTTTTGAGCTCTTCAAGCCTTGATTAATAGGACGAGGCATCAGTTCACAATTCGTATGGACTCCAAGTGAAGTTCTTCGTTCCAAATGGCCTGCTCTTCTGGAGCGTGCCTACGTTTGGAGCTAGAACCGTGTCTGTTCAGTACTAATTAGCTAATGCATGTAATAACTTTGGCTGTGTCTGCGGGAACCATCTTCCCATAATGCTTTCTGCTGTTACTGGCATGGAAATGTTGTGCTGCTGTTGTAGAGTGTGTGAGAACCAGGGTGACCTGCTTAGTCGATGAGTTAGGAGAGGTAACATTCTGAACTGCTGTTTCCAGAGGGAAGAGTTTGGTTGTGCTTTGGAGGATCCAGAAGTACAGCAGCGGGTGAGCTGTGAGAATCTGTAATGCTGAAAGTTGTCCAGTATCTCCTAGACGATCATTATGTAGTTCCTGTGGAGGGGACAGTTGTGAGCGTTGGCTGGGTATCTCCTTTCTGGTTTTTGAAGTTGGTGGTCAGATGCAGTGACAAGGCATCTCGGGGTGCGGCAGGTGGTGAGGAGAGCTGGGTTTGAATCTGGTGACACCGTCGTAGCCAACTGTTTCTTTTCTCTCTCCAAAGAGTCATTTAGGCAACGTCTTGGTGGACATGAAGCTCATTGACATCAAGGACACTTTACCCGTGGGCTTCATCCCCATCCAGGAGACCATCGACACACGTGAGTTGGGGGCTGATCCTCAGCCCCAGCCTTGGCTGTGGTGCCTGCGGGGGGGGAGCCCCGGCCCGAGGGGCACACTGAGCACCGCGGCTCTCGGGGTTACCTGTGCATGCTGGGGGCAGCTCCTGCAGAGAAGCCGCCCTCGGTTTTCCTGTACTCTTCAGGCTTTTTGATCAGCTGCCTGACAGTCACCGGCTCGCCTGCTGGAGTGGCACCGCGCTGGGCCAGGAATAGTTTATCCCTTCATCTTGCAGGGGTGGACTAGGCGGAGGGGAGCAGAGCTGCTGTGCTGAGGGCTGTTCCCAAAGGGCGGCCCTGGAAGGGCCCGTGCTCGTGGCGCTGGGCTCGCACACGCCCGATTCTCGCCTCCTGCCGTGAAGGAGCCCGGGCCGCGTGCTGCAGGCGGTGCTGGGCGGGGGTGTGCTGGCCCCTGCTGGGAGAGGGAAGGCACCATCCTTGTTTCCACAAGACAGAAATAGCTTTGCTGCAGCGCTGAAGCCAGCAGGTCCCACGCTGTGTGTTGGCGTCCCACGAGGCTCATGGCGGCGGCAGCTGGGGCCACATCAGGGCGCAGCAGGTGGCTCCGCCTGGGGCAGGGGAGCCCAGGGAGCGTGCCAGCGCTCGGTGGTGGTGGGATCCAGCCTCGCCGGGAGGGAAGGGACCTCTGTGAGCCTGCTCTGCAGGGAATCCCTCCTCTGGGCCTGCGGCAGGTGGGGATGGCTTTTCAGTCCCTACCGACCTGGTTCTGATTTGAACCTGTGACTGAGAAGCGAAGGGCTCTGCAGCCCATTTCCCTTCCCCTGGGTCACCCCCTTTCCCTGGACAATCCCAGGGCATGGTGGCCCCTGGGAGCACTGGGCACTGGCCACGTGCTGCTGCCATTTTTGTGAAAGTCCTGGTGAACAGGAGTCCGTAATTAATGTAAAATGCGTTGGATTGCAACCCATGCAGTCTTTAAAGCAGAGGCGCTGTCTGTATTAATGAAGTGGTGCATGTCCCCGCCTCCGGTAGCATGAACGAACACATTTCGATTGACTGTTTATAATCTGTTTACTTAAAATTAACTCTGGTTAAGCATGTGCCATTAATGAATCCAGCTCCTAAACCAACCTTGCTACAGACTGCAGGCTCTGGCCAAGTGTGGAAGAGACCAAAGGCAAACAGTCAGCTTGGTGCTTACCGTGAAAGTCAGCTAAGAGGCACTGATTTTGCTCAGAGTTAAACATGTGGTCACGCATGTTGCTGTGCTCTAAGTGGCAGCTGATGTGCAGTAAATATAATGAAATATAGTGCTCCTTACTGGTTCTGAGAGAATGTTCAGATGTGGAAGCCTTGAACCCTGGGCTCCTAAAATCGGTTTGAGGCACTTCAAATAAAAGCCCTGGTTTGCTAAGCAGAAGACTAGACTTCAGGGATACAGGTATTTAGCATCCTGCGAAGCAGCGCTGCAGCTGCACAGATGCTGTCTTGTGACACACCTCGCACTCTCTGCGCGTTTATTGGCGCTGGTGCGACAGCAGATTCCAGCGGCCGGGATGGATTGCTTTCTCCAAGGTGCGCATTACGGAACAGGAGGAGCCTGTAGAGACAGGGCTGCTTGCCATCTGTTGAAGCCAGAGCATATTTTTAAGCTGGAGGATATTTATTCATGTTAGACTGAAGCTTTTTTATTTTGCAGGCACTTGTCTGTAGTTGTTTTTCCCCAGCTTTTCATTCAGGGTCCTCACTTTAGATTTTCAGTTTATCAGTAGATCTGTCACAGCTTTCAAGCACCCACGTTCACAACCAGAGAGCTCACCTTGGCGACCCCGAGGCTCCCGCGGGCCCCTGGGGGTGAGGAGAGCGGGGTGCTGAGCACTGTGGAGGGGTGGGTCGTGGGGACGGGCTGTGTGTGGGTCTGTGGGCTCCTTGCACCCCTGGGCCGTAGCTCCGGGAGGTGCCGCGGGTAACGTGGAAGGAGCACAACTGCTGCGACACAGCAGGAAGGGGCCAGCAGCAGGTTCCTCTGCCCTCTCGACACACGTCGGTGCGTAACAGTTGCCCCGTAGGAGGTCCCAGCAATTACTGCTTTGTAAATCTGGTTTATCCCCACGAAGATACCGGGGCAAACGCAGTGGGAGTATCGTTTTGGTGTTTCCTCACTGAGTCAGGAGAGGTCCCGAGCACTGGGGATGCCTGAGGCTTGGGCAGAGGCTCTTGCTGCCAGCCCCCGTGCCTGACAATCTGCTTTTCTGCCGCTCCTCCGCGCGCTTTGGTTGGCTCTTTGGAAGCACTTGGCAGAATAAACTGACGGGTTGTGTCAGCAGCTTCCAGGTATGTTCCTGGAGGCGATGCTTGTGGGAGGAATGTTTAGATGTGGCCGGCCGGCCGGCGAGGCAAACATTACCTTGGAAGGAGAAAGCCAAGGTGAGAAGTCCGCAGCAGTGGGAGAATCCCCTGCCGTTTGCTGTGGTGCAGCGCTCTGTGGCGCACGTGGTGCCTTATCCTCTGCAGAGGGGAGGGGGTGTGGGTTTATCAGGGTGCCTAACGACAGCTCTCAGGCAGTGTACAGAGAGCTCCTGAGAGTCACTGAATGGCACTGCACTGTCTGGTTTGCTGACATATAATCTGTTCTTTGGCTCCAGTTCCTGCCATAATTATCTGCCTAATATCTGGAGAGACAATAAATAACATTTATACCTTAATCTTGCATAAAAACCACCCTGTGTTCTGGTTCTGGGTTGTTTCTGCAGAAGAAGTAGCTTTCAGAAAGAAGAGGCTGTGCATTAAATTCATCCCTCGCGATTCCACGGAGGCAGCGATCTGTGATATCCGAATCCTGGGCAGATCTAAACAGGCCCCTCCTCAGTACACGTTCATAGGGTGAGTACCCCTGGCTCCGGGACCTGTCCTCAGAAACCCGCTGGGGCCGAGGCCAAGCACCCTCTTTTCCTGTAATTACTAAGTAGTAATTTGTAAGAGCTGAAGCTTGTCCTTAGAAGAGCCTACCTAAGAACAGGCCTTGCTGAGCTTGATGTAGGAATTAGCTAACCCTCTTTTTTCCCCCATTAGACTGGCTCTCACTCACTGAGGTGTTTGTGAAACCCTGATCCTTGTGCACCTGCGCAGCATTTGCTTGTGGCTTTAATGTCTCTGTGTTCTCACGCAGGGAGCTGAACAGCATGGGCATTTGGTACCGCATGGGCAGAGTTCCACGCAACCACGAACCTTCCCAGCCTGCGACTCCTCCTTCCCAAGTACCATCCTCCACACCAGCTCCCAACCTGCCAAGGTACGTTTTCTGCTTTCCAGCCCCTCCTGCTGGATGCTGCCTTGCAAACCTTCCCTGGCAGAATCAAGACCAGGGTGTCATGTCGGTGTGAGCGTTACGTGGCACGATGCGATAACGAGGGAATGGGTTATATCTGCCTACTGGAAATTCAAAAAGTCAGAAGAAAGAAAAAGCCCCCAGAGGAAGGGAAACTGCAAACTACAACTTATCTTTGCTTTAAACTGTGAAGGACGTTTAGTTTCAAACAAGTACAAGTGTGTCACCCCTGGGCCGTGGGCCACAAGTGTAGCCAGGCTGATGGGCCTCCTCGACCAAGGGGAGGCAGAAGCATTCATACAGATTTCAGTGCACAGGGGGACAAGTTCTGCTCCTTCCCCAGAATCCGTCTGCTCGTGGTTTGAGGTACTGCCCCCGTTCTTTCTCTTCTTGGACCCGAGTGCTGTGCTCCAGTGCTGGTGCAGGCCGAGCAGCCCGAGCGGTGCCCCCGGGCAGGCGCCTGCTCAGGGCCTGTGCGGGTCGTTTTCCCGGCGGTAGAGACAATATTTGTGTGTGTGTGGGGGGGTGCACGTGCTTGCGTGTATCTAACAGGAGTCCTGTGTTGACAGCTTGCTTGCTGGATTTCTCTGGACAAAGCAGAGTGTTGTTAAGCAACAAGGCAGCGCAGACAGAGGTTAAACTGCGCTTGGCGCCGCCGGCGCTGGCTCGCCGGGGACGCAGCGTGAGGTGGGCTCATCCCCGGAGCTCCAGGGCGGGCAGCACGTCCTCTGCGGGTCCCTTTGGGCTTTGGCTTCATGGAGCGAACGAGTATTTCTGCAGGAGGCACTTGGCGCTGCAGATGCGCTTACAGTGTTACAGGAACGTCGGGAGCTGGGATTTCGAAGGAGGCAGCAGGAGCCAGCTCCAGGGGGACGGGTTTGTGTGCAGAGGTCGTGCTGTCCTGTGGGTGCACGATACTCCTGTCCTCCGAGTCTTGGATTACAGGTCATTTCAGAGAGCGACGCTCTTGAATGGCTGTAAACCTCCCGAAAAATCTGTCAGGTGTCTTTTGAAGGCAGGTGTGCACCTCTGAGCCTTCACCCGTGACCCAGACTTAAATCTCCTGTCTTGCAGTGGCTCTTGGAGCTCCCCAAAGCATGTGGGCGTTTCTTTCGCCGAGTCCTGCTCGGTCTCCTGCCACGCTGTGGCACGCTGCTGGCGGGCCCGTGCTGTCAGGTGTGCTGCAGGCAGACATGCTGTCTTGCTTCTCAAGCAGAGATGGAGGCAAGAGAGATGAAAAGCCAGCAGCCTGCTGGAGGTTTCAGCCTGCCCCCCCGGGAGCTGGTGCGTTGTTTTGAAGCTCCGCTGGACATCAGCTACATGCTAGCACAGGCCGTGCGAGATCAGAGGAAAAGATGTCTTGATTTTAGAGCACAGATCTTCATTTTCTGTCCACAAGAAATTCCTGCCTGGGCAGATTTCCACAATAAAGAGAAAAAATTATCATAGCAAGAGAATGTCAATGGCGGTCCTTAATCACTAAGTGTGGAAGGGTCACTTTATGGCCGAGCAGGGAAGGCTGCAGAGCAGCGTCAGAGCTATTGGGAACGGGGCCAAAATTAGAGCTCAGAGCATCAGCGACAGTCTGAAAAGAAGTGTTTACAAGGCTTATATATTTTATAACCTCTTGTTGTACAGTTTATGGTTTACAATGGCTGCAAGGAAATTGGATCAGTTTTGTTTTACTTGCCAAATAAAGCAAATGTCAAAATAGTCAATATAAAATGTATTCTAATTTGGCTGAGTTAAAACAGCCAGTATGCAGTGGAATAATTGAATGTTACATTAATGCCTCCTAGTAAAAACCACCTGTCTGTAGCCAGCTCCACTCTCATGCCCTGTGCGTGATTTACAGGTAACTTTTACACCACCAGCCTGATCATTCAAAGCATCTTTCATGTCTGTTTTTTTACTCTGATTATTTATTATCCAATATATTTGTTAAGAAATAGAAATGTATATAAAGGTGCATCCTGCAAATATTTCATTATTATGGGGAACGCATACTACTTGAAAGCCTTTCCTAATACTTTATCAGCAATGTGGTAAGTTACTCAACACTTAATGTTTGTGGAAGATTGTAGTCACAAGTAACCTCTTATTTTTACACCGCCGTAGAGAGATGAGCTTGCACTGTAGCCAGTTTGCTGGTTTATTCCGTGTAGATATACCCTGGCAGGAACAGCAGCGAGTTGTTGATGCTGCTCTGAGTGCTGAGAGAAAATGGGTGAGCAGTGCTGAACAGGGCATGTGTGGAGGTTCTGCCGTGGGGCTGGTCGCGTGTTTCGGCTGTTCTCTTCAGCTGCTGTCGAGAATTATAAAATAATTCTAAATCAAGAGGGCATGCCGGGGGGCTTCAGAGCAATTGCTAACGCTGGACATAAACTAGAGCACTGAAACACGCCGTGAGCTTCTGCACAGCAAAACCTTCCTGAGTGGAAGGGCTTTTGCTGTGGGAGACGTTTGTTTCTGCACCGGCCATGTTTCCTGCTCTGATCTGTGATACAAAGTTCCCGGTGGCAGTGGAGGGCGGCACATCAGAGCTTTGTCATCTGTCCGGGGTTTGACCTCCCCGGCTTGCTGCGCGTCAGCGGTGCTGCTTCCACCGCTTGTGTCGCGGGGTTACGGCTCGCGGTCGGAGCTGCACAAGGGGAGCCTTTGTTTGATATTCCTGCTGGACTGCACACGTTATTTTTCAGCCATTTCTCCTCCTTGGTGTTCCCTGCTGCAGGCATCTGGCTTAATGGGCTCTATCGGCAGCCCGGGCGCACCCCAGCGAGGGGGGCGTGCTGTGCCGCGGAGCACAGCCCTGCCATTGTGCAAGGCATCAAGCTGCTTTACTGTCTTTTCTCTCCAAATTCTGCGACAGCTTCTTGGCACTAATGGCAGCCTGGAGAAATGCACTTGCAGTTTCCCATCCTAGAAGGCTGCTGCTGAAGAACTGCTTTTGTTGACTTGAGTCACCAGTGGGAGGTTAACGTGACTTTCCTCAGCAGCTCTGCGCTCTCCGGTGCTGCGTGGTGACGCCGCTTTGGGGAGCAAGAAAGTGATCCTCCCCCAAAGGAGGCGTTAGCATCGGGTAACTCGCCCGGCCCTTTGCCCACTTCTGCCTCACCCCCCTGGGGATCGGCGACTGCCAGCGCATGGGCTGGGACCTGGCACGAGCGTTCGAGCAGCGTCTCGGGGCTCAGCCCCCCCCATGCCCCGAGCTCTGTCGGAGCAGGCTAGAGCCCGGTTTGTGTGTGACATTCTCCTCTTCAGGCCCAGTTCCAGCCTTCTGGGGGCAACTCCCCGACTTCTGTGAGTGCTCACAGAGCCAGCCTTGAGCCCTTTTGCCTTGTGGCTGCCTACGCGATGGCTCCTGTCAGCCGCAGAGCGTCGTGAGCCCGCGTGGCTTCTGCGGGTCGGGAGCGCGTTCCGCATCCCTTCCCGAGGTGCGGTGGGAGTCTCTACCACCGTCACTCAAACGGCCCTCTCACAATTTGTCAGCTGCGAGCAAGATGTCAGTCAGTGCTGCTGAAGTGTGTTTTACAGTGACAGACATAATTGCACTTAACTTTTTGCGTGGATGTTATCAATCTGTGACGGATACTTTGGGAAATGGAGCACTCTGATTGCAGATGATGTGTCACAGGCGTTTAATCTTCCTCTCGCAGAGACCAGGATTCAGTCACAACTTTTACTTGTTGATGTCAGGTTTTGAAAATGTAGATTCGCGCTGACCCTGGGAATCGTTCAGTCATTTAGCTTGCAAGGCTGTCATCTGAAAGGTTAATGGCTTACCAGGGAGAAGGAGGATCTTGCTGCAATCCACTTGTATTCGTACCGTGCGTTAGTGTGGCTGGGCGCTCGCCGCTGGGCTTCAGAGGGCAGAAAACTCCTCCTGGGCGGCCCCTCGCAGTGAGAAGCCCCGTGCTGGGGCGGGGGAGAGGGCAGGCCGGGCCTGGGGCAGGGGTGAGCCCGAGCTGCGGGGCTCGGTGGGGCTCACGGTGCTCGCAGGGCCACGGGCCGGTCAGCGGCGTGAGCCGCGGGCGAGCGGATCCGTGTCGGCCCCGAGGGCTGCGCCTGCCCTGGCCGGGAGAGCCCAGCGGCGCGGGAGGGACTTGCCGTGCTGGCGGGGCGGTGGGTGGGAGCCCCGAGCGTGCCCCCCACG